CTGTAAAATCTGTGGTAATGTCTCCTAGATCTTAATATTGTAATTTAAAAAATGTATAACTGATATTGTGTAACACGAAGAAAAGGTCTAAAAGACCAGGGGAATTGGGAGGGGTAGGGGAAGGGAAAAAAGGGAAAGGAAAAAATATAAGAAGAGGAAAAAAATGGATACAAGGTCTTCGCAAATAGGGAAGGGTGGAGGGGGTGAAGGGAGGGCAAGGGAAGGGGAAAAAAAATAAGAACCAAGAGACTCATGTACAAGATCCCAATGATGAATGTAACTGTATTTTATACCTAAAATGTACCAATAAACTTAATGGGGGGGGAAAAAAAAAGATTTATAATCCAGAGATTTCATTTGGTCTTTTCTCTAAATAAGCGCTCAAACTCCCTGGTATCTACAGATTATTTCTAAAAACAATTCCTTTTACAGCCTATTTTTAAAACCATTTAAGGAAAGTATTTTTCAATGCCTTGGCATATTAATAAAATTAAAATTTGTTACTTGAAGGAACAACACAAACCACAAACTAACCTCTTCTTCTAAAACAATGTACTGGATTAGGGCAGCAATCAAATTCAAATCGACTTTATCATCATCCATCATTTTCAAAACATCTATAGTACTGGCAGAATACCTATTAAAATTAAACACAAAGTCATGAAATAGTTTATTTTGGTTTAATCTGCTATAACAGCTTACAATGAACTCAAACAGAGAAACACAGATAGGAGAGAATTACTGTGGTAATAAATGTTTGCAAGTCAAATCATCAGTGTTTAGCTGACACTCTCCTTCATTATGTACAAACTTGAGGAGTCAACCCCAACTTTTTGTTTTAATCACTCAACCATTGTGTTCTCACCTTCAACATAAACTTACCGTCTTCGCAGCTCCCTCAAATAATCTGGCCAACGTTCTTTATAGATTGCTTCTTTTTCTTCTTTTTCTGGTCTATTTACATGCCCTTGCATGAAACCCCTCTTATATTGGGATCTGTGTTCCTTTTGTTCTGGAACATATCTAAAATAAAGTTTCGTTAAGTATCTTCACTTTTTGAAACTCTAGTTTTACCTTGTATGTGTGACTTTTTACGTTGAGGATTTTAAAAAAGATTCTTAAAAACATTTTCTCCGAACTTTCCAATGAACGCTGGTTAAATCTTATTTGTAAGAGTTCACTAATACATACAATTTGACATTACAGAGAAAACATTCTTCTCTACTGAAGTCTACAAAACTTTAGACCATCTTTAGCTGTCAAAAAGTAAATTAACTTTGCCTTCAATTTTAAGTCCATTTGAAAACAAAACATTAATGTAAGTTCAAAGTACAATTAATAACTAATAGAAAGACTTAGATTTTAAAGTTTTCCAAACCTAACTGCACATAAGAATCCGCTGGGACACTTGTAAAATACAGATTCCTAAATCATATACTTTTTGATTTGGATCTGTTATATTAAGAATTTTTTAGTCACCTCAGGAAACTCAAACTGTAGTCATATACAGTGGTGGTGCCTTGGTTCACAAACTTAATTCTTTCCATGATTCTGGTCACAAACCAAATTGGACGAGAACCGAATCAAATTCAATGGTTAGGTTCAACGCTGACCTCATGGGGAAATCTGATTTGGTTCTTGTCCAATTTGGTTTGTGATCAGAATCATGTAATTACATTCATGAACTGAGGTATCACTGTACCTATAGACCCCTGCTAGAGAACTAGGTACTTCTGGTCATAGTTATAGTTTATGGCAGATACAGAACAGCATTCAAGTCCTTGTGTGTCAATCTACCACTCTAAGAATTCTTCCCTTCTGTTGTGAGTTCGGAGAAGCATGGGGAATGGAGAGGAGAACAGAAAAATTAATCTACACTTTAACCCAGATCCTCTGAGTTAACCTAGAGGTCAGCATCTAGATGCAATGGGAAGGGTGGGTGGGGCAGGTGGTTTGGAGTCAGACGGACTCCAAATGATGTGCTTGCTGTCAGTGACTAGCTGTATGACCTTCCACAAAGTATTAAACTTCTAGTTGTCTGTCTTGTTTGAACAACTGATACTCTTTAATAGCAGTATGGCCTGAGAAATGAAAAAACATAGTGACCAAGTATAGTGTCTGATAAACAGTAAACACCAAACAGTGTTAATCCCTTTCCCTATTCAGTACAGTACGTGTGACCTGGGATTCCCCTAAATCTTGGACACATACAGAGACACCAACTTGAGGTAGGGCAACCTGAGACAAAGACTGGTCCTAATCAACAGGATGGACCCAAAACTGGTTCCCTCTCCAACAATTCCAAAAAACTGAGGTAACATCTTGAACCACCCTCCAGGTGCCCAAACCATCCCTATCATCTCACCCTACTCCTTTCCTGTCCTTTGTCACTTTTGCATTGAAGCTTCCTGGTTCTTAACAATTTCTTGTACATATATTTTTTGTATAAAGTGAGACTATTACCCCTATAACTATTATATAACCAGATAGACATCTTATACTTCATTATTTGCCTTTTTATTTTTTACATAGAAAGCATTTACTTTTTGGTTATCTATCATTTCTAATTAATTGAAATTCCTTCCATCAGTCCTAATTTTTATAAAAATTTCTTTCTCTAATGGGAAAAAAGGGGCGTGATGTACCATGTACGTACAGGTGCTAATTCCCCATGATGCCTGTTATTATTATGTATGCTTAAAATGTACCAATAAATATATCACTGTATTTTTAAAAAATTAAAAATAAAATAAAGCTTCTTCATTAAATGAAAAAAAAATTCTTTTCCCACAGATTCATTTAATATTAATTTTTCTTTCATCATAGTAATTTGATGGAAAAATAACTTTTATTTATTTGCAACGCATTATTTTTTTCCTTCTACTTCCTGGCTATACAGCTCTTCTTCAGGGAAAGGGATAGGTGAGGTCTTCTGATGAAAATCTCTGACTATGGACCACTCTGTCCATTCTCCCTTTTTTCTTTTGGTCCCAGGGATTAAACTCAGGACCTTGCGCTTGTCAATTCTCCTCTGAAAGCTATACACAGATGCTGTTCTCTTTGCTCCAAGAGACTCCTTGGCCATACAGTACCTTCCCTATCTTTCTGGAAGTATAAGAATGCAAGTTATCATCATACTACTTTAGATTACTGATCCCTAAAAATTAATTTTCATTATCACCAAGCTGTTGCCTATTATTTTCTTACAAAGTGTCAAATGTGTAAGAAGTGGAGCATATGGTAGAAAGTAGAAATGAGGGAGCACACAGAAAATGTATGACCACTGATGATAAAAACCAAGGCACAGAAGACAATTACATACTGTCTCTCTCACTTTTAGCATGTTCCACCCTCTCTGAATTATACATTCTCCTCCTTCATACTCTTCCATTGCTTTTTGAACTTGCCCAGTCTATTCTTGATATAAAATTTCATTTCCCATATACACTATTTTCCCCAGACTTTTACACAACAGCTTACATATCTCCCTGTCTAGATATAAATTCTAAGGGTACACACCAAGTCTTTGTTTTTTTATCAGGGAACCTAGCACAGTGCAAGACACAGAATAAACCTTCATAAACATTTGTTAAATAAAATGTCCAGTCAAAATTCAGATGGTTTTTACCCATGTAAAATAAGTTGTGGCTCTTTGCTCTCATCTTACCATTATCACTGTCTGGTTTTCTCATTTAGTAAGTGACTTGATTAGTCTTTTAAAAGTCTCTTCATTAGTGTTTCTATATCTAACATTTATTTTAGATGTTTGCTATAGGTCAGGCACTGTGCTAAGCACTAGTTACTGAGATGAACAAGACAAAATCTTTGACCTTGAAGAGTTTAAAGTCTAGTTCAAGAAGCAAAAATAGATATACTATATGACAAGGTAACATAGGTAGAAAAGGATGGCAAACAGAAGTCTAAAATGAGAAAATGTAGCAAAGTACAAAGTCATGAACAAAAGGGCATGGGCCTGGCATTAGGAAGTAGGACATTTAAATGGGCAAGCCATGGGATTCATGACAGGGAAATGCTTAAAAAAAACATAGAATGAAGCCAGACTGAGGCTCAAGACTAAGGCTCTGGGGTTGACCAGCTAAAGAATTTGGGGACTCTCCTTTCCTAGTCTTTTTCTTATCAAAGAATACAAATTTAATTTTGTAGAGCCCACTGGGGAAGAGAATCTAAAGGCCAGTGGCCAGAAGGTTGAGCACATCAATAACTTGGACATACTCAATGAGATACTCTGTTATATGACATGTAAAACCAGTAAGGCTCTTAAACAGATTTTCAAAGGGATGTGCTCTATGCAAGGAGCTTGCTTTGGGAGGCGGGGAGGTTTCATGTGATCAGATTTGTTACAGAAGCCTGAAGACCAGAATACAACAAAAGGAACCATTATATTAGCAAAGAACAGATGGTAAAAAAAAGCTTTAGTGAAAGAATGAGGAGTATTCAAGGGCAAAGCTCTTAGGGTTTGTGTATGTTGAGATAAAGCACAAAATGATTTGGAGTAACTTAGCTACTGTGCATATAAAGAGCAGTTAGCATACCTGGGACTTACCTGCTTGAGAAGTATGTATTAGCTTTCTAAATTTACAGTAGAGGAAATTGGAAAGAAGATTAATACTATTAACTATTACAAGATATACCTGGCAAGGCACATTTTTTTTTTTTACCAATGGGAAATTGGAAGGGTCAAATAAAGAAATGATTTTACTTAAAAAATGTTAGGTTCAAGGTGTCCATAGTACTAGCATGCTGCTGAGTAAAAATCAGCATGCAGGAAGATCTTCAATCCTGAAGCCACACTGCTAAAGAGCTATAAAAACATAGAACTATGGTCATGGAAATTGTGAATTACAGAATGAACACAAAAAAATGATAAAAGACTGAACATCAGAGGGTAAATCATATTTAAAAGGTGGGCAATGGATGCCAACCATGAAGAATAAAAAAATAGTAAAATAATAAGAAACATCAAAGAGGTCCCCAATCTTTGCCAACCAAGGGTCTTTAAAAACTAGTGATACCTGGAAATGAACCTAAACTCTGTTAATGTAATTAAGTATGGAACATGCATGGGGCATCTGAATTTTTTTAAACACCAGGTAATTTTAATGTGCAGGTAAATTTGAAAATCCCCGAATCTATGGAAAAATGTTTTAGATGGAAGTGGCCAACATCAAGTTTCTGAGATTAACAAAGTATGACAGAAGTGACATATTTGTTGCTTTTATTTCCTAATGTCCACTTACCTTATTTTTTCAATTATATCTTCCAAAAGATATTCTACAACCGGAAAAGTAAAACCAGGTATATGTATCATTGGACAGTTACCTGTCATAGCAAACAAAACAAACATTAATTTGTTTTCAAATGTTAAAAAAGCCCAATCTATTAAAGATAGGAAAATGGCTCTATTAATTTTCCTAACTTTAGAAAATGGTTCTATAGTACAGTTCTCTATTTTTCCATATCTAGTTTAATAGAAAGCAACAATCTAGTCCTCACTTAATATTTTACTTCTGTACAAACTGTATACGTCAGTTTTACAAAATGTCACTATAAAAGAACAGAGCCAATTTCAGCTGAATTCCAAACCTATTAGATGTCTGTTTTGCTTTTCACCAAAATGGTGCTGCATCAGAATCCAAGTCATATTGATATTGGCCTTACCCCTGGTGGCATCCAGAATTTCAGGAATGAGGGGTTATTCAAAACAAGACTTAATCAAATATTAACTCAATACTATTTCAAAGTGACCAGTTAAAAAAAATCACCTCAGCACTATTATTTAAACACCATTTCTATTTCATAACAAGCAGTACTAAATATAAAGGCTAAGACACAGGCAGAGGTCAAAGCATCTGTGCTACCACTGCTTTGCCTCTGATCTGTGTTAAGTTTGAGTGAGATACTCAATGTTAGTTCTGGGTACCTTAATAAATTTTAAAACTAGCATAATATCTGCTCCAACTAATCTCATAATGGTTTAACAGAATGTATTTTAAAGGGCTTTTTAAAAGTGAGAAACAAAAACATTTATTAAACATACTCATACTGCATTTTAATTTCCTCCCATCACAACTGTAAGCAGGAAAGGTAAGTGAGGCATAATTTTAAAAGAAAGTACTTTGCAGCCAGTCAAATTTAGTTTCAGATTCACTTGTGTTTTTGTTAATTATGCAACCTTGAGTTAAGTTACTTCGCTGCTCTGAGGCTATTTTCTCATTTGCAAAAATGGGCCTAATAGCGCTACATACATCACAAAGTTTTATGAGGATTAATAGACAAAACCCCAAATACACTCTGAAGGTGTTCCATAACAGTTCCAAACTAGTATTATTATTATTATTACGAGCATACTGTCAACTTAGCATGTGACAGTACATAAGCACCACATAAGAATCACAAAGATGTTTATAAAATTATTCAAATGTGTGGTTGACTTAATGATGTCACCTCAATTGTGTGGTGATGGTACCAAGAAACTACTTACGTTCACTATGGGAACAGAGAAGATGGCATCATTAAAAAATACACCCAATTCTCTAATCTAGAAAACCAGAATTATGCAACATTTATTTACATTAGTTTTCTTTGTTTTTTGAGACAAGATCTCACTATTTAGTTCAGTGTGGCACTGAACTCAAGGCAATCCTTCTGCCTCAGCCTTCTGAGTGCTGGATGTCATGTGCCACCATGCTCGGCTTATCTTAGTTTTGTAAAAAGTTAAATGCAGTGGTTTTCTGGTATGTTCTCTAATGTAGCAATCACAGTTTACTCACCAAAGTATTCTGAAAATTTCTCAGCATTCAATGTTGCACTCATCAATATTACTTTCAGGTCAGGGCGAGAATTGAGAAGATCTTTAGTAACAGTCATTAAAACATCTGACTGTAGATTTCTTTCATGGATTTCATCAAGTATGATATGACTAACGCTAGACAAATGCCTAAAACAAAAATCATGAAGTATATAACTCACTACAAAACTTAAAAGCAATCATTATTCTTTAGTAACTGCAAAATTCAATGTGATAATTATCTTTTAATAATAATTTGCAATTCCTTAATTGAATCATACTCACGGGTCTGACTGGAGCCACTGAAGGATGATTCCTGTTGTGCAGTATAAGATAGAACCCTGTTTTCTTGGCAACCGACTGTGAATGAAATGTGTAAATTAATCTTGGTTTTTTTTTCTAACAACTTACTGAACACCACAAAGTATAAAAAAAAAACTCCACACTTAAAATTTTAGATAGAACTGCTCATTTTAACAGGTAAAAGGAATCTTGGCCCCAGAAAAAGACATAAGTTTAGTGGAGATGTACAGGGGGTTCAAGATACTAAAAAACTAGGAATACAGTCAATTAGGGATTGGCTAGTTAACACAAAAAGGTTCAGAACACCAACTCCTTTGAGGAGAAGTGATGATCTACTACTACAGTTATTTTTCTAATTATTCTATAATGTAGAAGTACATTTTTAAAAAGGCATTTTGGGGTTAAAAGGTGAGGCTGTGGTAGCAAGCCACTCATGCTGCAGCTGCTTTAAATGTTAATTTTAAGAGTAATAGCCAGTATAAAAACAGCAATCATCAGTACTTTCTTTTGAATCTCCAGTTTCAAAATTCCACTAAAATCTACCTATACAAGAAACGAAGCTGGGAATAGGGGCACATGCCTGTAGTCTCAGCACTCGGGAGGCTGAGGCATTAGGATTACCAGGAGCACAAGGCCAGCCTGGGCTACATAGTGAATTCGGGGCTAGCCTGAACTACAAAGGGAGACCCTGCCTGAAAAAACTAAAAACCAAAACAAAACATTATTTACCTCTGGAGACGAATTTGGTACCCGGTACTATTACCATTGCCACAAGATTCTGCCCTTTCTGCAGCCACTCTTTCTGCAACCTTTAATTTAAATAAACATAGTTACACACACACACACACACACACACACACACACACACAAATACAATTTCCTTTAGGGCAAATATCTTGAACATCTTATGAAAATCTGAATTGTTGAAAAATAGTTCAGATTTTCAGGTGAGTTTAAAATAGCTATTTATTGAAATCTGAGGTATCTATGTACCTTTCTTAAGACTTGCATATAGTTCACCTGTTTCTTATGCTTACTTTTCATTTGCTCTTATAATGTCCTTCAGAGCCAAATTCTTCCTCATTACTATTCTCAACATTCTTTTCCAGGGATGCTCCTCTCATTATTTCAACTTTTCTTTTTGCACAACTTTAATTGGAAATCATGGCCAAATTTGCAAAACTTGTAATTTGAAGTTAAGAGGATACTGATACTCTTTTTTTGTTCCTGGTCTGTTTTAGTTGTTTTGTTTGTGGTAGAGACTAGTATTGTTGAATTTCTCAGTAATGGCTGCCAAATATAAACTCTGGGCAAATAAAATATTGTAATGTAATAGTGACTCAAAAAAGTAATCAAGTCACCTTGTGACAGAACGGTGATAAAATGAAGTTAGAAGCAGAAAATGACAACTGCTATATTTCAGAAGTAAAACCTTCTAGTAAATATATCCAGAATATACAACTTAGATCATATTAATTTGCACAAATTCAAACAAAACTTGGAAAAATAAGAAAAAAAAACCCCTCTAATTAGCATTTCTTCATTCTGTGTATGTGTGTATACATATATATTGCCATATAGTAATGAAAATAAGGGTAGCTATACAATTGTGTTATGAAAAGTTTATTTTTCATCATTCTGTGATCTTAGGCATTTACCTCCAAAAGGTTTGAAGATTGTTGCTCCACTTAAATACACTGTGCATAGCTTAAAATGTTTACTATTTGCCCCTCACATATGGCTATACTAATTGATAATATAATTCCTAACTACAGATTCTGTATTAAATTACTCAGAAATGTTATAAATAGCACTATCATAAATTAAAGATAGCACTAAAGCTGCATAATTTAACTCATACACAGAGTTACATACAAAACATTTAATCCACTATAATCACTGAATGTTCTAAGAAACCCCAAACATCTTTAAAGAATATGTAACCCATACATAGATCTTCTAACTAAAGACAATAAAGTCCATTTAAAAACTGTTATTTGTAAAAGTATACTTATAACTATCACATGTAGTGTCCTGAAATTTGGACTTACACAGATCATGTATGCAAACAAAATAAACCTGAAATAATGTTTTATTTTTCCTCATGATAAACATCCTCTTATTGAATAGCTACCTTTAACCACTGACTACAGATATGTAGCTTAAACAAAATAAGGCTTCCCAGTTACCAGTATTCAGGGAAACTGCATACTAAAAAAACCAAGAATTGAACAACAACAAAAAACAAATGGCAAAATTTGCATCAAGTTTTTTTTCTTTGTGGTATCGGGGACCAAACTTGGGACCTTGGGCTTGCGAGGCAGGCAGCAGCATCACTGAGCTAAATCTCTGGGCCCAACAAATAGCAAATTTAAAGCATCTAATAAGGAAGATTTTGGAACTTGTCATCTAGTCTATGAATAGTTTACTGACTTTTCATTCTTTTGGATTTATACTGAAATTTTCCTGGATTACTAATTTATCTTCAATTCATAAAAAACTATTATCTGTGAGAGATGTCATCAATCTTTTGGCCTTTACTTCAAAATGTATGTCAACCAAATACTTCCTTTATAGCAACAAATACTAACCCTGATTAAAAATCACTCCAAACCTTAAAAACACTAAGTTCGAGCAAAATTATTTAAAAGAGAATAGGAGATAAAAAAGTGAGATTTACTTACTGAAATGGCACTAATTCTTCTTGGCTGAGTACAAACTATTCTGCATACAGATCCTTTTCCTCTTTCAATGTAGTTATCCAAAATGAACTGAGTAACTTGAGTGGTTTTTCCACAACCAGTTTCACCACTTATTACTGTTACCTGGTGTTTATCAATTAAATCTACCAACTCCTATTTTAAAAGGGAAGATAAATTAAAAATATAATAGACTAAGACTGAAAAGACAGTAATCAAAATTCTACCCCACTGAAAGTATATTTCAACACAAATATTAACGCTTTTTAAATTTTGGCATAAGCAGTGCTAGCAATTTGGATATCTAAATTACCAATGTTCAAGAGTAAGTACCACCAAATTGTAAAGCACAGAGCCAAGGCACTGCTAAAGAAAAACTGCGACAAGAACAGAAAGAGTCAGCTCCTAAACACCCCACAGAGGTACTAATATCAAACTAAAAGAATGCTGACGCTGAGCACAGAACCAATCCACTGACTGTGCCTGCTGGCTAAGTTATACACATTATTTTAGGAAGAAACAGTGTTATGTATTTTATTTGCTTTCAAATAATTAAAATAAAATTAAGCGTTTAAACACCTAAATTAAATGGGTAAAGTTTAGGTATTTAAAAAAGCACATCTCTGATGAAGACATTCTTAAAAATTTTATATACACATTAATATTTTTATTAATTAACCATCCTACTACTATATTAATCATCCAACTACTTCAAAAGCGTGTAATGAGTTATATTTTCACCTACAAATAATTTAACTTGAAAATCTACACTTAACAAATTTTTCCATCTATTTTAAAGCACTGTACATGTCAAAAAATTTTTATCTTTGAACAATGAAATGATAGCTGGTAAATACAGTCGGCCCTCCATATCCATGGGTTCTGCATCAACCAACCACAGATGGAAAATATTTGAAAAAATAGCTGAGCCTGTACTGAACTCTTCAGTGATTTTTCCCTACATAATACAGGATAACTGTTTATTTTGTATTAGATATTACAGTAATCTAGAGATGCTTTAAAGTATACAAGAAGATACATGCATAGGTTATATGTAAATACTATAGCCTTTTATATAAGGGACTTGAGCACTTAAGGATTTTGGTGTCCACGATGGGTCCCAGAGTCAATCCTCCATGGATTCAGGGGGATGACTGTACTGACAAGTGGAATAAATTTCATTCATTCAACAAATACTTACTAGATGTCTATATAATGCCAGGCACTGCTCTGAGTCAAGAGGTAAGAGATTGAACAAAACAGACCCTGTCCTTAAGAACTTACATTGGACTAGGAGGGGGAGACACACAGATGTCAGGTGGTAATAAATGCTATGAAAAGCAAAGAAAAATAAAAATAAATAAGGCTGGGAGGATAGAGAAGGATGGGGAATTATATTATTCTATGTAGGGTAATCACGTGATGAAATATAAAAAATTAAACCACTGTATTTTATAATGCTTCAATTTTAATTGAAGTGCTTAGTCTTAAATTGAGAGCAAACTATTTATTCTAAGTAATTTATATATGAAAATTCCATTTTTATAAATTCTAGAGATTTCAATTATGGATATAAATATGATAAAACTTCCAGAAAATATCATGACCATATTTTCCCTTGTATTCTTCAATAATTCAACAGAATAAACTAACTTCCCATTAGGAGAAGGTCTGCTAACATACTTTTTTTTAAAAAAATGTGTTTATTTGCAAAAATAACAGTATAAAACATTTTACCTTTTGCATTCCGTATGAAGGAAGCTTTTCTCTGAAACACTGAAATAAAAAAAAAAAGTTTTAATTTTCACAAAAGAAATGTAATCAACTTACAATCACAGGAATCAGTATATATCATACTTAAAAATAATAGAATCCAAAAGTATTTTTGTATCTTTTAGCTTGGGTAACATCAAGACTCATAAAAAATAATTTATCATTTCCTTTTATTTATTAAAACATTCAAAAGCAGAATTCTATTACGTGTAACAGAAGAGACAATTCTGCAAAGTTAGAAGTAAAATGAAAGCTAGAAGCACTGGTAGGGGAAAGAAAAGAAGGGAATGGAATTAATATGAGAAAATGAAAAAAAGGAAACAAAGTCTTTGTAAATAGGGAAGGATGGAGGGGTTGAAGGGAGGGCAGGGGAAGGGGGAAAAAATAAGAACCGAGAGTATGTAAAGGTGCAAATTTCCAAT